ATTTAAAAATTGCAGACATTATGACATTTTACACTTCAAAACTTCAGTAGAAATTGCTAAAAAAAATTTCCTATGTAACCATGATATCAGTATTATACTGTATTACTTTACTAGGGCTTCCATAACAAAATACCACAGGCTGGGAGTCTTAAACAACAGAAATTTATTGTCTCACGGTCCCAGAAGCTAGAAGTCTGAGATCACGGTGTCAGCAGGTTTGGTTTCTTCCGAGGCTTCCCTCTCTCCTTGGCTTGCAGATGATTACTTTCTCACTGTCTCCTCACTTGTCGTTCCTCTGTCCATATGTCAATCTCTTCATGTCCAAATTTCCATTTTTATAAGGACAACTGTCATATTGGATTAGGGCCTACCCTAACAACCTCATTTTAACTTAACCACCTCTTTAGAGACCTTATCTCCAAATACAATTACATTCTAAAGTAGCACGAATTAGGACTTCAACAAATGAATGTGGGGAGGCAGGGTACACCATGCAGGTCATAGCACACACTTAATAAAACTAACAGTAGCTGATTGATATATTAAGGTCCAATCCACATTTGATTTCTTACATCTGTCCCCAAAATGTCTTTGTTCAAACCAGGGGTCAATCAAGGACTTGAACTGCATTTGGCTGTTTTATTCCCTAAATTTATTTTAATCTAAACTAGTCTTCCTCCTCCGTTTTTTTTTTCCCATGATTTTGTCTTGCTGAAGCTACTGCCTCACATTTTGCATTTTTTTCCTGCTTTTTAGCGGAGTAATTTAACTCATTTACCTGTGTGCTGTGTTGGGTTTCCTATAAGTTAAAAGTTAGGCCTAAAGGCCCGATTAGATTCAGATTAAACACTTTAAGCATTTTAGGTAAGATTTCATAGGTAATACTGTACACTTCATATTGGGTCCCATTAGATGGCATATGTATGTCTGGTTGTTCAAATTTAAGCGATGTTTAGATTCAGCCACTGGGATAAAGTAGGGACAGCTTGATCCCTCCCATGAGCAGTGACATTTCCCCCCTGTGACCGGCAAGCTGTCTGTGGAGGCTGCTTTAGCACCTCGGAGCATCTACTTTGCCATCACATTTCACCTAACGGTTTCAGTTTCCATTGATGATTCTCAGTTAAATCAACTATTTCGTTAGAATTTACCAAATTTATTCTATATTTATTAGCTGGAATTATTCTGCAAAGAAGCAGTCTCCCTCATCAACTGAGGCTATTTAATTATCCTTAAATATAGTTCCAAATGAAAAGACAGGATAAATGTTTTTAATTTTAATTACCAATTTTCAGAACAAGGAGTTGGTGTAATAACTACCTCCAGTAGTGACAAATGAGGGTTGTTTTGTTTTGTTTTGTTTTGTTTTCTGTTTTTGGAGTGTCACTTATAGATTTATGGCCTTTAATATATTCTTATAGCCATTTTTATTTTTCACACTTTAAATGGCCCAATTCTGGCCCACTTGGGGCCCCTGCAAATGGTCTGGTCTTTTTGACATGATTCCATTAATCTTTGAAAGATCCTTTATTTCCTGTGAGAATGAGCTGCTCCATGCTTGCCTTATACATTCCTCGCCCCAAACCTGAAATCAGCCATTTCTCTCAGAAGCTGTTTCCTCAAATGCAGAATGGCTTTAGAAACCATAATCTGGTTCCTGGGATACTTGCTACTGAAATATTGTTGATTTTTGGCTTTCAATGGACTGCGTTAGACAATATGTATATTCCTTTAAATCATGGCTTTGTATTGATAGTTCAAATTCAAATTTAATGTTACAGGGTTTTACTTAATTATTTGAATTTATACTTTCATCTATTTTTTCTTATGCTGAAAAGTGGTTTCTAACGCCTTTAATATAATTACTTATTTATCATATTGGTATTTCAAAATAACAATACAATTGAATGAATAGAATATATTTTATATCCTAAAATATATTCCACCAAGGGAATAAAAGGGCTAAGTTTTAAACTCAGTTGAAATGATTATTTTCCCTGTGTAATTACATTATTAATTTTATATGCAATTAGATTAATTTGTTTATGTATTAAATTGTATATGTATTTAAATTGTACCTGTATTTTTTGAATATGTAAAACAGTTACGTGTCTTAGAAGTTAGAAGCTATACCCAAGGAAGTTTGCCTTTCATCTCAGTCCCTTCCTCCCACCCACTCGCCCTTCACCTAATGGTAACCAATTTTAAAAATTAATTTCTGATTAATTCTTGCAGTGTTTTTTATTATAAATATAGGCAAATTCATACTCGAATACTAACTCCCTTTTGCCCCTTTTCACAAATGTAGCATACTATACACACTTTTTGGCACCTTGCTTTTTTATTCTGCAATGTCTCTGGAAATCGCTCCATATCAATACTTTGATATGCTTTCATTCTTATGGTTACCTCGTTCTCAGTCATGTGGAGGTACCGTAGTTTATTCAGTAAGGGACTGGATACCATAGTTTATTCAACCAGCACATATTGATGAAGAGTTTCAATTGTTTCATGTTTCTTTTTTCTTTTTTTTTTTGCTAGTACATATAATGCCTCAGTGAATAAACTTTGTGCATATGTCATTTCATATTTGTGCAGTTATGTCCTTAGAACAGATTTTGAGAAGTGGTATTCCTGGGTCAAAGAATAACCGCAGACTGCGATCTCAATAGATATTGACAAATTCTCCTCTGAAAGACTTGTACGATTCATACTCTCAACAGCAATATGTGAATGACAGCATTTGTTTCTCTCTAGCTTTGCCAGTTTGGTGGAGGAGAATTGGTATCACAATGTAGTTTTATTGCATATACTCTCTCTTTATGACTGGGGTTGAGGAACTTTCTGTACATCTAAGCAACATTTGTATTTCCTTTTTCCTATGAACTGCCAGTTCGTGTATTTTGATCTGTTCAGTGTTCTTGGTCTCTTCCTTCTTGATTTCTAGGAACTCTTTATGTTAAGGTGAGGAATTATTAGATTGTGAAACAAGTCCCAAATGTTTTTTCTAGCTTATCATTTATCTTTTGACTTTCATGGTGTTTTAAATGTGAAAGCTCTCTCTTTTTTTTTTTTTTAAATGATGTAGTCAAATTCCTCACCAAATTGTATTTATGATTCTAGATTTTGAGTCATAGTGAAAAAGATTTTCTCTACTTCCAGATTTTAAAGAAAGTCACCTAGGTTTTCTTTTAGTATTTGTATGGTTTCCTTTAAAAATATATTTGGATAGCTGATTTATTGGAGTAAAGATTTTGTTCATATGGCTTTTGCACATTTCTTGTCAAATTTATTCCTAAGTATTTTATCTTTTTTTGCTGCCATCGTAAATGGGGATTCCTTCTAAAATATCTTCTAACTGGTTAATGGTTATACATGGGAAGACTATTTGTTTATTTTTATTAATTTTTTATCCTGCAAATTTTGCAGAATTCTATTTTTTGTGGTATTTTTAAATTAATCCTCTTGGAGTTTCCATTTATATTAGTATCAATAACTAGAAATAATTTTTAATCTTTACTTCTAATTCTTATGCCTTTAATGGTTGCTCTTATTTAATCGAATTGGCTAATGCTTCTGAAAAGTTAACTAATTGTAGCAATAATGAGTATTCTTGTCTTATCTGATTTTTGTGGGAACTCTAGAGTTTTCCTGTCAAAAGAGACATTTGCTTTGGGGCTGGTGTATGTGTGCGTGTAATTATGTTGCAACAGAATTTATCAATTTTTATTTTACTGAGTGTTTTTTATTTAATCAGTCATGAGATTGAATTCTCTTTTCAGCATCAAAGGAAATATCCATATGATTTTCTTATGTAGACCTAATATTCAATATTAATAGATTTTCTAGTATTGAATCATCGTGACAACCATGGAATAAATTCTACTTTGTTATTACATATTTTGCTTAATACGTTATAGGGGTCTATGCATCAATATTTTATTTAGAATTTTTTACTTAATATTTGTAAGTGAGATTAAAATCTGGCTTCTTAATCTTAGTAATTTTTATATCATTTTGAAATTCACTTTATAAAACTAATTTGGAAGTTTTCATTTATGTCCTATGTCTGTATATTTTAACTAACATTAGAGTTATCTGCTCTTTAAAGATGTGTTAGAGTCCTCCTGTGAAGCCATCTAGGCCTGGCATTCTTTTTGTTGGTGAAGGGAGAGCACTTGATGATTGAGTGGTTCTTTGAATGAAAGATGTTCACTTGTACTTCTATTTCAATCCTAGTTGTCCTGGATGTTACAGGCTCCAGGGAGTAGGAAGTAGGAACTAAATTTCTAGGGGCAGACGATACCTTTCCTAAGGCAGATGGGACTAGGGAGGGTGAATTGACAATATAATCACACCCAGAATGTCAGTGGGTGGGAGGGCTTTAAAGAGAGGCTGCAGGAAAGGCCTAAGGTGAGAGGTCAGCTGCTTCCTCCCAAAGACTTTTCTTCTGACTCTGCATTCTAACCTCTCCTGGGGCTGGGGGGAGGGGGGAGTCACTATTCTATTTTCACAGTTGGGAAAGCAAATTCCCCATAGTCCACCAAAGTCTTTGGCAGCCTTTGTCAGAGAGGTTCTCACAAGTCACCTCTCCCTAGGGAACTTGGAATAACAGTTAGCAATCTCACCCCCAAATTCTGCCTATTTGCATTTACCATGAGCCAGTTTTAACCAACAAACCCCGCGGCAATAGACATTTCTTTCATGTTTAGTCTTTGATTTTCTGAGGTGGCTCTCTTCTTGTGGAGAGCACCCTTCTGGGTGTCTTGGGCAGCTGTGTTCTCACCTCTTGCCCACTTCCTGTCTCTCTACTCCTACAACCCTCTGCGGACCTGCATGCATTAAAGATCTTCTTGCCCCTTCCCCCACAAGAGAGCCTACCACCAGGAGGCGCTGGTCTTTGAGATAGAGAGTGAGAGCCCTTGGCTGAGGAGGTCACCAATCCTGCAGCTGCAGAACGTTGCACTTGGTTAGAGGCAAGGAAAGGAGAGAGAAGAAGTTGTAATATGCCTGAAGCTCCTCCACCATGTCTGAGCCAGAGGCAAGACTTCGGAGAGGCTGAAGTTCAAAGACACTGCTGAGAGATTGGTAAGTGCCCTGAGAGAACTCTAGGTAGTGTTTTCTGTGTACAAGTCATAGGCCTTGTGGAAAGTGTGACCACTCTCAGCTGTGTTCGCCCAGTGCTGTAATCCCCACCGGGCCACAGATTTCCAAGTGTTGCCGGTGGAACGGGCTGTGGGTTCATGTGGGCGGAGCTTACAGGGTTGAGGGGAAGGCTGCGCTGCGAACGTTCTTGAGGGTCCCCGGGAATGTTTTGCATTCTAGGCCAGCACTTCTTTGCCCTTTACATGCAAGTAGAGGCCCTTCCCTTGCACCTATACACATCTAGCTGCATCAAGGCCAACTAGACCTGGTCATCCTGCAACCCCAAAAGTGTGAGGAGGGAAAACTATGGTGACTCTTTTTAAAAGTTTTAAATGGAATGAGTCCGCATCTGACTGACCTCAGAGGTTTATGCTGTGCCACAGGGATTGCCTATTGGCCCCAAAGGCTCAGCTCACACCTCTCAGTGCACACCTGCTCCTCAGAGCTGTGTTGCTTAGCTCTGACTGCAGCCACTGCTGAGTGGGTGGCTCCAAGAGGGACTATGGAAGGTTCCCTGGAAGACTCTTCTGTCATTTCACCTTCATCTGAAGCCTCTTTAGGGTCCGGCTGGTACAGTGGCTTCTTTTCTGCAGGAACATTTTATCCTCATATATTTTTTATATCAGATGCATATGACAGAGCAAAAAGGTTGTCTCGAACCCTAGCTTTGGAGTTTAGAGACCAGGGTTTTACTCCTGGCAAATATATTACATAGATTGAGAGAGATATTCTCTTCTGATTTTCGTTTTACTTCTTAATTAATATTATTATCAATACCTTTGATGTTTCGAATACTTCCTGTGTTCCAGGCACTGTGCTAAACACCTTACCAAATGTTAATTCACTGAATTCTCGCAATTACCTTATGCTGGAGGTGGGAGGAGATACTATTGTTCTCATTGCAGATGAGGAAACTGAGTCTTAAGGAGGCAGAATAATTTTCCCAAAGTCACCAAGCCAGATACTTCTTACTCTATAGTCTGCTAATCGCCATCCTCAAATGTCTTTGGGAGCATCATTCATCAAAATGAACATGATTGTGTTCTTCTTTGGACTAATTGCTCAGAAACAAATAGATCAATACTTTAACTACTTTGGATTTCTTGTTATATAAGACAGGCCAGGCCCTGCCTCTATGGTTTCCACCCACCCCCCACTATGGAAACACAGGTTGTAAATTTTTTATAGCTCAGACCCCAGTGTCCACCTCTCTCTGTGTTCTGGTCCCACTAGCTGCTCTTGGCTGTCTCACTCCTGCTTCCCCTGTCTTGACAACGAGTTTTGGAAACACCCTACCAATTCAGCCTCAGACACTAGGTGTTATTGCTGTTTTAGCTGAAGGGACTGTGATTGTTGGAAAGAGCGGTGTTGTATATTGATGTAAGCCTTGAAGGACAGGTTGAATTTGGGAAAGGCAGAGAGAAGCCGATGAGGCATATATTGTCTAAGGGGCTGGAGGTGAGCTGTGAGGGGTTGGTTCATGGGTCATGGTGTAGTGTTGGGAATAGGCTGGACCCAGGGAGGGGAGGAAATTGGTCTGAGATGGAGGATCTTGAAGTGGAGAAGGAAGACAGGAGCCTGAAGAGTGTAGAATGCTCAGGATGCATGCCTGGAATTGTGGGGACAGAGCTCCAGGCTTCAGATGCTTCCCCTGTTGGAATTGTAGATTTTCGGGTTATGCACCATGGAGCACGCCCAGAACAGCAGCGGTGAGCTCTAGAAGAAGGTGAATGTGGACCTCCCCACCTCCTCCCCGCAGAGTGTGGCTTCGCCAGAGAGCAAGCTTTGACTGTGAACTGAGGGCAGGGCTAGGATGATTCACCTCTGTGTCTCCAGAGCCTGGTGTTGAGACTGGTGCTTTGTAAGCACTCAGCGACTTTCAAATGAATGAAGGCAGTGGGGAGGGAGAATGAGTCAATGGTAGAATTTGATGATGAGCTGAGATCTCCAGGCAAGAGTCAACTAATCCAGGGGTCTCCAACCCTTGGGCTATGGACCAGTACTGTGGCCTGTTAGGAACTGGGTCGCAAAGCAGGAGGTGAGCAGGAGGTGAGCAGCAGGTGAGCGAGCGAAGCTTCTTGCATTAGATTAGCCATTACCCAGTGCTAGCATCACCTCCTCAGCTCCACCTCAGCAGCAGGCGGTGAGCAGCAGGTGAGCGAGCGAAGCTTCTTCTTTATTTGCAGCCATTACCCAGTGCTAGAGCATCACCTCCTCAGCTCCACCTCAGATCATGAGGCATTAGATTCTCATAAGAGTACCGGTCCCTGGTGCCAAAAAGGTTAGGGACTGCTGAACTAATCCCTTTCTAGGGTTAGGCAACTGGAGCTTGCCCTTCTCTGAATTCCCGGTTTTCATGGAGTCACCATGCACAAGAAAACTCACTCTTCTGGTCTCCTGTGATAATAGTGGGTCAGAGAGACTAAGCCAGAACTCAGCAAAGTCTCAGTTGAGACAAATAAGGCAGAAGGTACAAGACTTAAGGAGAGGACCCCATTCAAGGAAAAATTGTTGTGTTTGTCCAAGACTTTTGTCCCACCCATGTCTTGTTGCCAGAGTAAATGCCTCTTGCTCATTGGTTCATTAGATTTCAAGAGCAGTTCCTGGCCAATAAGTGTGCAGACTTAAGTTTCTCATATCTTTGCACATTCTTTAGTAGAATGAAGTCAGGGAGAGCAAGTGAATGTCATTGATAACAGATTCTACAGAATCTTGGAATGACACAGATGCACTGAACTCATTAGATAATGGCTGATTTTTTTTTTTTTTTTTTTAGGAAGTGCCGTAAGAGAACTTAAAAAAATATATTGACTAATGTAATCCAAAGACCACGTAGTGTACTTCTAACCACATTTTTGCTTATTGTTTAATGTGTTTCCTTCATGGTCTTTCTTGTGGCCAGCCCTATGCAGTTTGTGTACTTGTTGAGAGATTTATCTGTCTTTGTTTTTGCTGAACTCAGTTTTTCCGAGACCCTCTTTCCTCACAGGCTCAGTTTCACCCTGCCATCTGCAGTCGGCCTGTTTCGGTGGCAGAAGAGGCCACATGTGCTTTCTGTAGGCCCCCTGGGCAGAAGCATGCAGTGGTGTCTTCTCCTGATCTGGGCCCAGGGGCTGAGGCAGGCTCCCCTCCTTGCCTCAGGTAAGGACTGAAAATCTAGCCTGGAACCTAAGGAAGAGGGAGACCAGGGAAGAGGAATGGGGGGCAGGGGGAAGGCG